TCTCAGTCACAAAAGCAAAGAGCTGCTTATGCCGATGAATCTCTCTGGCCTGAATAAAGGATACCGATGTATAACGGCATTTGCACGAGGAGTCGCACAAACAAACTTGTTGGTACAGAAACAGGCATGTTGCTCAGCTGGAATAAGCCGTGTACTGGAAGCTCCTGGGATCAGGCAGCACGCAGGATCAAAAATGCCCAGCGGTAAGTAATCAGCTCTTTCCTCCTTCGAAGCTGCTCACTGCCCTGCCAGCAGCCAGGGATATGTGATGGAGAGAGAAGAAATGTGGCAAACACTAAGGCTTTCCATAACGTCCCTCCACGGATTGGGCACAAAGTCACATCCCTGCTCCCAACAAGCCGAGGGACAATGTCCCCAAACCCGTGGCAGTGCCCGGCTGTTCCCCCACCCTGCATCACATCATCCCCAGCTCCCCGGCAGGGTATTTCCTGCGTTTATTCCCCCCGTAACGTGGGATAACTTCTTGCAGGGTATTCCCAGGCATAGTTAATTCATGTCTATAAAGCATCCGTGGACCTTCCTGCAAGTGCAAAAGTCTCGATGCCAAACAAAACCAACCTCATTCCTGTCCAGGTACATCAGGAATTTCCCAACCTTTGCCCTTCCTGGAGCTACTCTTGCTATCACAGTGACCTTAATAAATGCCTTTTCTGACTGATTTTGCAGGTGTTTTCATTTCTTTTAACAGCACCGTCACATTTTTACTCATCTTTCAGAGTACATCATATGATTGGTAATCTGTCCATTCCTTGGGATTTTTGTATTACTTAATTCCTTGTCTTTGTTTGGGGAGGGGGGGGAAAGAAAGAAAGAAAATTGACAGGGGTGAGGAATGATGCTCTGCCGACTTCATGAGACACAACAGATACCTCACTCATCTCGGGGGGTCAAATGTCCGCGATGGTTTGATCAGATGTCAAGTTGCATTTATACTCTGGCCCCTGTTGGGGGTTGAATTACATTTCACATTTGACTTACTTCTGGGGTCAAATGTCCCTCCTATTCGATGGAACAAGAGAAATTATTTTCCCCAAGCAGGCCTTGCCGGCATAAGTCTGGAGCTGTCAGCACTCCTATTATGTTTTAGGCTCCTGTATTTCTGCATTTCACTCTCAGCTGAGACCAACTCCTTTTGGGATGACAACAAGAAACGCAGCCGATAGCACATAAGCAACCCCACCGTGTAAGATGAGGGGAAGGAGCAGATCAGCTGGCTTTCAGATGTTTTGGACTATGTTTTGTTTGGAGTTTTTGAGGGGTTTGGGTTTGGGTTTTTTTTTTTCCTTCCCTTTTCCCCCCAGCTTAGCAGCTCTGCAGGGTAGGGAATGACGAAGAAGAGGCAAGCTGGCTTTACTACACTTTAGCCATGAGATACCGCAGAAGCTCCTTAGGATCAAAAACGATCCAAGGGGCTGAGCTAAGGCTGATGTCAGGGTGCTGCGGGATCATGATGCTGCCCAAGGACTGCTCACAGCACAGGACCTGCCCTAACCCCCCCCGTTTCTGTAGCTCCAGTTGTAAAATGAGAATAATTGTATCTGTGTGAAGGGAAAGGATGACTCAAGAGCTTAAGCAGTGGTTGGATCTCTGGGCAGAAAGTGTAAAGCATTGCATTGACAGGCAGGAGTCATTTAAACCCCCCTGGGTTTAAACCAGGGCAGAGGGAGAGGTGATGAACTGAATTCTGCTTTCCACCTAACTCCTTCTAGGTATTTTGAAAGAAAAATTGCAAGGTAATACAAAATTTCCTGTAACAAAGACTACTGAACTTCTTCCATCTGTGGACTCCTAAAAATTTTCCAGCTGAAATGAGGCCACACACAGAGATGGATTTCTTGCCCTCCTAGCCCTTCCCACCCACCTCAAAGCACGGAGGGGCTGGAAGCCCTCGCGTAGGTCCGGGGGATTTCATCGTGACAGTCTCAGCCCAGGCCATCACAAGGGTGCTGGTACCAGGGGAGCTCAAAGCTGGGGTAAATGAGCAAGTGTGCCCTAAGACAGGCAATGTGAAGCTCAGATTTCCCACTGTTAACGCTGGACATCCCAGACCCTGCGCTGAGATGGGCTCAACGTAAAACTGTCTGCTGCCGAGAGCTGCAGATGTCTGATGATGCCCAGTGCAACCAGTTTAGGACAAAAATGGGGAAAAAAAATCCCAACCCACCAGGCCCATCTATTACAGTGTGATGGCTTCAGTAATTAGCGTGTGTGACTTGTCTTTGTCCCCAAGGATCCCAAGGGCTGAGCAATATCCCGTGTGTGCCGCACAGGCATCTCGGGGCCGGTGATTTAGCAGCCTCTCAAGCGAGATTGTGAAACCACGCTCCTGCCGTTTAATGTACTCGTTCGGGTTACAACAGGTTTAGCAAACAATAAAAAAACCCAACCATCTGCACTCCCCATTTAAATAGAAGAGTTGTGTTATTTAGTAATAAAGTCATGACTGGTGCTATAAAGCGCTCTCTGGTAAACAAGCGCTGATGTGCAGGTACATAAGGGGAGACGATGAACTAATGAAGGTGAGGGAGGAAGGCTGCTCCCCATCCTCCTCGGCCAAAGCTCATGCCGGGTGTGAACCACCACTGACGTCCTTGCAGGGCATGAACTGGGATCCTTGCCCTCCCTTGCCCTGGGCAAGATTATGGGGGGATCACTGCAGCATCCCATGGGGGCACCCACCCCGGCAGAGTCCCAGGTGCCACCTCATGCCCTTGCACCCCTTGGTCCCACTCCCAGCTCCCCTCTGACTGTCCCAGGGATAGCAGCACAAGGAGGGGAACTGGAGAAACAAGATGAGACAAACTTCTCCATCTGTTTTCCATGTCCATCCCCACTCCCCACAGAGCTCTTGCTCTGCGAGATAAAGCAGCAGCCCGGTCCCTGTGCACAAACCCAGCCCTGTACGGGGGGGTACCTGCCCCCTGCCCACTCTCTGCTGAAAGAAAGATACTCCCTCCCTTTTCATCCTTAACTGCTATTTCAAAATAGGAAATAAAGGTCAACAAATAAATAGAGAATCAATGAAGAGTAAACTCTTATGTCCCAGGTTACAGGGATCTAAGCTGATTTAGTTTATCCTTCTCCCAGGTTCAAACAGTACATGAACCCTTCACCACATGATAGCCTCTCTATTTATTCAGAAGTCAGTCCTCCTCTTCCTCCTCGATCATGGTGCAGCAAACTGTTCCTCACCCCCCCGCATCACTTCTGATTTCCCTCCAGCTGCCCACCCATGGGGGAAGCAGGATGCGACGGGGCCCTACCAGGTGATTTCTGTTGGTGTGGAGGAGGAAACTCAAATGCTTCACGTTGGCCATGGTTCAGCCCCAAGCCAGTCCGATCCCACAGGAGCATCATGGCGGGGAATGCAGCTGGCAGCTGAGCTGGTGCTGCCAGCCCTTCCCGATGAGCCTGTGAAATAGCTGTCCCTTGGGAGTTTTTAAAGGCAGAGTATCTAAGACAACTGCCCCCGTTAGCATCCACCACTTGCGATAGGCTCTGCACAGCCCTGGGGAGCACAGGGAGGGGCAGGGCTGACCCCCAATCTGGGCAGCCTGGGGTCACCCCCTCCCTTTCTGCGTTTACTCAACCTCTGGCCATTCCTGGCTCTAATGATCAACCACACCCCGTTGTCGATCGACTATGTATTTGTTTCTGCTGAATCACTCCATAGCACAAAGCCTGTGGTTCCTTCCCCACCCTCTGGAAATCCTTCTCGCACAAGAACAGCCCCCTCCCCACGCCCCGGCGGAGGTGGCTTTGCGTGCAGTCTTCGAAAGCCAGAGCACGAACAACTCTCCCGAGCAATGAGCCAACGTACTGCCGCACTCTAAGAAAGCAAACAACAGGTTTTCATCCTGTTTTCAGGTTAATATGCATATATTTTAATTGCCGCTGGTATCTGAGCTAGCTACACCATGGCTGACTCACTAGCTTTGCAATTCATAGCGATGCTGCGGTAAGTACCAAACCCCAGCAGCAGGAGCACGCTGTAACCTCACCACGCATATCGGGTCCAGGGCAATAGGAAGCCGGCAGCATCTTGGGCTGGATGGACACCATCACATGCCTGCCTTACCAATTTACACACAACATAACCCTGCAGAGCCCACGATGCACGTGTCTGTGGTCAACAGGGCCGCACAATGAAATGGCCCAACGCAGCTCAAAAATGGGACGCTGAAAAATATTAGCAACGAACTTGCACTTTCCTTGACAAGGCAGCTGGATACGATGAGATGCTTCACCCCTAGGGTGCAGCATCAGGCACCTCAAAGATGCACCGAGTCCCCAGCACGCTCCAGTCATGCTGGGCAGGGGGACGCAGATGGGACCATCTGTCACCTCCTGGTCAGGAGGACAGGTAAGCACGTGCTGAAGTCCTCACCTCCTATCAGGACCTATGCATGAGCTTAACTTTAGACATGTTTAGGGCTTCACAGAACGGACAAGTCTTTTTCATGTGTATCCAAGCCCAGATAGAGCCCTGAAGGTTCACGCACCTGTGAGACACGAGCACTTCTATTCTGGTCCTCCACGTGTGGGTTTATACCTCCTAAACAGGAAACCTTTGATTCCTTTTTCTCCCCGAGCCAGCTAACTGTTAATCTATTTAGCTACAGGAAACACTCCGTGTGAGGGAAGGAGACACCTGACCTACACACAATACTTGGAAACCTCACCGCATCCAGAAACACCAACTGCACCTTCATTTTGAGTGAAGGATGCTGAGGCTAAGCTTTTCAGCCTCGTCGGAGAGCCGTGGCTAAGCCAGGCTCTGGTGATAGGCAGTAGCACCAGCACACAAGCGCATCTCTCTCCCCGTATCGAATGCATCCGCCTGTGCTCCTCGGCCGTGGACCCTCCTGATGTCCCAGGAGTGCAGATTCACAGAGAGTTCCTAGAATTTGTACTTGGGCACAGCCTAAGATCCCTAAAAAATCTCACCACGCTGCCTGCCCTAGCAAATCGACACTTACCTGATTTGCCGATAGAAACTCCTGGGCGTTGTCATTCATTCCCATGTACATGTTCTCCCCATCAAACTAGAAAGACAAAAGAAAGTTAGAGTTAGTGAAATGCCATCTGCACAACAGGGTCATGTGCATCCCTAATGCTTTCCTGGCTCTTCACATAAAGAGCCAATATTCCCCGAAGAAAATCCTGAGCTGCTCCTTTAAAACTTTTGAGCACATATGAGCACACGTACATCACGGTTATTGCAATGGGACATGGTAACATAGCACGTTTATGGGTTTTTTTTTCAGTGAAATAATGAATGAATCACTCCAAATAAATAAGCCAAATGTGTGCAAAACCACAGGTGTATCCAGCAGCAAAGATCACCCAAATGATGTTCTTGCTAAAATTCCTACTAGACCATCAATCAGCTTTAAAAAGCCAACTTCCATCGATGGAAATTTCCAAGACAGGCAGGTCCCATTCAATCCCCTTCCAGACACCTACGTACTCCTTAACCTCCAAAGCAAACCTACAGCAGCAATGCAGAAAGCCATACCCAAGGACCGTACACGCAAAGCCTGATTCCCCATCCTGACTTTTTGTTGTTGTTTGCAAACTCCAGCTGAAAGGAAGCCCACTTCCCCCCATCGCCTCTCCCCCTGCCTGCTCTGCCGGGATTTTGCCTCCATGGCTGGGCGAGAGGCAGGGCAGCCCGAGCACGGTGCATTCGCCTGTGCCCCCACGGCTCCTGCAAACACGCCTGCCCCCTTCCACCTGGTTCTGAGCTGCTAATCCACTTCTTAGGCTACAAAACCCCCCTGGAGAACCGCAAAACTCCTCTCATTAATTAGCTACAACGGGAGCTTTTCACTCGCTCCGATTCCAAACGAAGGAAAAAAGGCCCTCCAGGATTGTCTCCGGCTCAAAGTATGGCTGGGGCAGTTCTCAAGGCTAAGTTCACAAATTAATTATGGCAATAAAATGGGCCACACCGTAAAACACTTCCGAGACAAGGATGAAGGTACCAGCTGTCAATGACACCACACACTTAACAAGGGGAAGAGCCAACCCTCTTGCCCTTACAAGCTGGATGATGAATTGAAGATTGCTCACCCCTTGCATGTCCTCTCGCTCCCTGACACGAAGCTGATACCAGTTATCCCTTAACAGAAATGGGCCGTATTAAGAACAAGAAATCTAAATAAAACCAGGTGAAGATTTTCAGCGCAGACTATTAATTACACTTCCATTTCTCAGAGTGCTATTAAAGTCAGCAGAGTTGGTAAAGCCAAGTGGGGGTAACACAGCTCTGCTCAGGGTCAGACACCCTCTAATTGCCAAACTATCCTCCGGGATAGCAGAGCAAACCAATTAAAAGCAGCAAAATTAAAGCGGGTATTGTGACACTCATTAACTAACACCGATAGCAGTCGCAGCAGGGCGGAAGGGAATCCCTGTGCAAATGCAGGATTTCGTTTAACCCACCAGCGAGGCAGGAGCCATGGGATGTAGCAAGCATCGGCAGCCCTACGGACTTGCTGGGACGAGCAGCTCTCCCAGAAGCCAGCTGGGTGCTCTCCACTTTAAACTGAATTTCCCTCCACCTGGCATAGCCAGCTCCTGCTAACATGGTTCCAGCTGGAGCTGCCGTGCTTCCAGGCACGGAGAGTCAATCAGCTCTACGGCTTAAATATCCTCAGTCAACCCAACCAACCCCAGGGGAGAAGGCTGAGTTTGCAGAAGAAGTGGCACGGTTTGGTGGAGATGCTCAGCCCTGCGGCAGCGGGACCCAGGCTCTGCGGGAGAAGCTGGTCTCTGACTTGGCGTGGGCAGCAGCACAGTTTTGGGGAGTCAATTTCTTTGGGAACAGGCAAAATTATGGTCCCGAGGTCCCACGCCCAAGCTCTTTTCGGGACTAGCCCATCACAAAACCATCAGGTAGGTCCCGAGCAGACCCCCCAAGGCTGTGCACCGTGTGGATGTCGGGCCCTTCCCGATGATCCGATCTGCAGTGCCGGAGCTCTGTGTCAGGTCAGCCGCACGGACACGCTCCCGGCCACTACGGGATGCTTCATAGCTGTTGCCTCTTGAGACTGCACACTGAGATGCTTCAGGGGAGCTGCACAAGAGCTTTCCAGCCAGCAGCCCTGAAGAGAGGGAAAATATTCCAGTGGGGAGATAGTTCTGTCCGTCCCTGGAACCAGTCAGGATTGCACTGCAGAAATATTTACTTCCACAGCAGGGAAAGAAGAGCTCTCTCCTAAGTAAAAGCTTTGCCCCTCTCAGAGATTTAAGTACACAGATGATGCACATCCATCCACCCCCCTTCCTTGCAAACACACACCTCACTTTTGTCCTCCTCCAGCGCAGTATTTTGCAGATCTAGACTCAGATCTGTTTGAGACAGCTCTTCTCCCAAAAACCAAAGCCACCTGGAAGCCTACATTCAGAAAACAAAAAGTATCTTTCACTGGGGAGGGCCAGGGCAGGACAAGCATTCTGCTTCCTCTATATCGTTCTGTTTGTCAGAAAGTATTTTTTTTTTTATGACTTTCTACTATTCCCTACCTCCGCTCCACACTTCCTTCTGCCCTTGATGCCTTCATAATAACTGTAATGAATCCTGCCTTCGAAATTACTGTGCCTCTGATTGCCAGTCTGAGCAGCGAGCCTGAAAATCAAGACTCGAAATGCAATGGAAACTTTGGAACTTCCCCACTGCTGATTAGATTTTTTTTTTTTTTCCCTCTCCTCCAGGCTATGAGGGTGCAAACAAATTTATTAGAAATTCTCCCATCAGGATATTTTTTCAATTAGACGTTTGCCACTTATACACCAGTCAGGTAGAGCAGATAAGTAATGTGCTCTCCCTCTTCTCATTATTGTTTCGCTACAGAATGCGCTTCAAAACAATCAGCCCCATCATTCCAGGTAGATTTACGGCAAAACCAGACATTTTCATATTTCCCTTTGGTTACAAACGCTTCTCCCTTTTTGCTTTGGTCTAACTCTTGGTGCGTGTCAAGCCCCTCAGGTGGTTCCAGACTTGGGTGCATCCATACATCAACCTTCTGTGCTCCCCAAAATTGATCCCCCTGGACTGAATGACGTGCACATGCGGAGCGGTGGGTGGCATTTTCAAGTCCTGATTTGAAAGGAACATAGTCTCATGCAGTTGTCTTAATCACCCTCTTGCTCTTTTGTAATTATTTAATTTTTGTTATTCTTTGGCTAATAAAAGCAGTCTATTAAATAAATCAGTGGCCGTGGCGAATTCTGACCCTCTCCTGCACGAAATGAGTACGAAGCCGAGGTGAGCCGCCACCACTCTCAGCTTGCAGTGCTTTGCATCCACGACATGGTGTTCGCTTGAAAACCTGGGAAATGCAAAGCCAAGTTGGGAAACTGGAAGAGGCAGGAAGACGTGATTGATCACTTTTCCTTCACCTGAGACTTGGACCCGTTTTTATCTAACTTGCACCGATTTACTTTAGCAATGGTTGCCTACAAACACAACTAGAATCAAGGACCTCTACTTCGAAAAGGACCCCTAAAGCCCCACTTTGCCAAATCCCAACTCAAACATGTCGCACGTAACATGCTCAGGACAGAAACAATTCTACTTACCAGATAAAAAAAAAACCCAAACCCTTAGAGGAAACTGCCCAAATTCCCACCAATTCTGGGATCCAAGGCATGCTATCAAACGAATGCCAGCAAGCTGCCTTCGTCTGCAGGTGACACGAACTCCAACCCAAAGGAAGGGGAGCGCAGGCGTGACCCCACCTCGTGCCATAGGAGGTGACATCACCTGGCACCCAGGGAAAAGCACACAGACGCTGTCAACCCCATTCAGACAGGGAGTCCCGAGGAATTCAGGGTGACGGACACAGAGCCATGCCTCCACGACGGCATCTCTCCATGGGACGCGCTACGCTGTAGTTTGGGGTCCAAGCAAGAGATACAAAGACAGTTCTACTCTGTGAGAAAACATCCTCTGAAATTTAGTTTTTCAGGCAGAATTTACTTAAAAATACAATTCTTTTACTCCAGTTTTTCCAGAGGAGCTGGAGCTGGCACTGCAGCTCCGGAGGCAGAGCGCTGCCGTGCATCCACCAGCCCATACAGGGAGCTGAGCCCAGGCTTGATTCAAATGATGTTCTAACAAAGCACTTTTTAAAATTATTTTTATTGCTTTTCTGGACTCACTTTGTTTTGTTATTTTTGCGATACGATGTTATTTTCAAATCTGTAAATGTGCCCAGAGGTCATACGGGTCATATGTTAGTAAGATGAAAATGAATAAGAAAAATAAATGCAAGCTGGGACAGACCCCAGAGCAAAGCAGCTGAGTGATCTCTGGCTCTGTGCAAACATGAAGAATAAATGTTTGTTAACTGGGAAGGACCCAGTGGAAAGAAACACAACCTCCTGCCAAGATTCAGGGAAGGTGTTACTTTCTCATGGATGGCACTGCCAGCTTGTACAATTTTATTATGAATCTCATCACATCCTTTTATTTCCTGAGAGTTACGAGCTGAGATGAAAACCTCAACTCTGTAAGAAATATGTTGGCATCACTCATACCAGGAACAGCTTCAATGACACCTGCAAGATCTCAAAAATCTTCCGAACTTGTTATTTCATTTTGTTTTAAGTGTGGTGGGTTTTGGGTTTGGGTTGGTTTTTTGTTTGGGGTTTTTCTTGTTGCTTTTTTTTTTTTTTGAGGGGTCTTATCTAAATTTTAACACTTACTGTTTTATTGTTGGCAATACTAGACCAGAGCACCTTAACTGCAAGTCCACTGAGGATCTGGAGTTTTTAAAAAGTGGCCTGTTGATACAAATCCAGCGATAACTAAAAGCCATCATCTTCAAGGAGCTGTTAAATGCCCAGTGAAGAACAACTGGGATGCTTCCAGTGATTCCCCCTGCTCAGAGCTATAAGCACTTGCCTCTCAGTTTTGTCTCCTTGTGCCAGGACACACGAGGCAGGCAGCAGGTCCCCTCTCATCACAACCTCATTTCCAAACTGGGTGCACTGGGGATATCACCTTTCACCGCAGACGCTTGGGATGTAGCTG